ACAGCGCCCGGCGGGGACTTCCCTGGAAGCCGTGACCCGCGGTCCCCCCGCCCAAGGCAAACCAGCAGCGAGGGGGCAGTTCTCAGCAGAAACGTCTTTATTGGGCTGCACAGCGGGGGTGTGACAGGGGCAGCGGGGCCCGGCGTCAGTATTTGCTGGGAAGGCCCGCCGGTCTGTAGCGGTTGGGGTCCCCGCCGTTTCTGCCCCACGCGTTCGCCTCCTGGTCAGCGCGGGTGTCCTCGGCACCTCTGCCGCTCACGTCGCTCTGCCATCTCTCCCGGGCGTCGCTGGAAGGCAGAGAAAGGCCACCTGAGCCACCAAACCACTCGGCGTTGATTTCCTCACCCGTGTCAAACTAGCTTTCCCGCAGGACCTCTGGGAGCGAGATGCCAGCACATGTTCAGCCCTCGTGGGAAACCCACGGTGGAATCCGTAAATACAGAGAGGGTGGGGAGGCACTGGGACAGGTTGCCCAGAGAAGCTGTGGATGCCCAATCCCTGGAAGTGTCCAAGGCCAGGCTGGATGAGGCTTTGAGCAACCTGGTCTAGTGGAAGGTGTCCCTGCCCATGGCAGGGGGGTTGGAACTAGATGATCTTTAAGGTCCCTTCCAACCCAAACCAGTCTGTGATTCTATGATTCTACTATGGCAGGAATCAAACCAGCAAGGGAAGAGCACACCTTATCTCCAGAAATGCAGAGGTAAGGAATCTGCCTTCTTGGAAGGGCAAGGAGAAAGGCTCGTGTGGGAGGAGAGGCACCATTCCCACAGAGACAGGCCATTCCTGTCTGCTTCCCCCCGCCGTCCGTCTAGGGCAGAGCTCCCGTGCTAAGAGCCAAGCACAAGTTAAAAGGGACAGCACTAACTGGAGTGCCTGAACCCCTACTAACTCACTGTTAGCAACCCAAACACGCTCCGTTACCTGATCACTTTGGCTGCCCAAGCACCACCAGGTCCTCTTTGGGCAGCATCGTAATTCCCCCGAGCGTGGAAATATTTGTCGGCGTTTTTATAGTTTGCCTCGCGCATGTCCCTGTATGCTTTGAACATATCCCACGCCCCTGAAGAAAGCAGAGGAACGGAGATGATGTTGGCTTTGAAGAGTCAAAGCACACGTAACCTGTGCTTGGGGAGGGGGTTCCCAAGAGAAGGGCCCGTGGTGCGAGCAGCTTACCTCCCGCTGCATCCCAGGCGAATCGTCCAGCTTGGCCTAAGTCCGCATCTGCACACAGAATGAAGGAGAGCAGCACAAAGCAGACGCAGAGCCTCATGGTTCCCGGCCCAAGCCTGACGCGGAGCTGTGAGACAGAGGAGCAGTTCCGGAGCACGTTTGAGGGACTGCTGACAGCATCCATCACACCCATAGCTGGGCTCGGGCGGCTGCCCAGCACGCATGGCTACCCAGGAACCTGCTGCTCCCCTCACAGGGACTGATGCCCTCTGTGTGACCGCAAGCTCAGCTCAGGACTACACAACAGAGGCAGATGGACGTGAGAAACTTGCGTTGTAGCAGTCCCTGCCGCTCCTGTCGTGACTACAGAGAAGCCCCACATGCTAAAGCATCAGTCCTGTTCCCAAATACCAGCTAAAACCACTGCATGTAGCTCTCAGATTCAGAATATCACTTACCACTGCAGAAAGGCAAGGCCGAAGGAGCTTGTCTTGTGTGCTCTCAGGCTCAGAGAGGGTATTTATAAGCAATTCCAACCCCTCAAAAGAGGAAATTGGAAAGGTTACCCGTGGCTGGGAATTCCCCAGTACCACTCAAATTCCAGCACAGAAATCATTACAGGAAGCCTGTCCTTGTCCTCACTAGAAGTTCACAGGTCCTGTTACACAATTTTTCACAAAGTTTGTGGTGCTTCTTCAGCTGTCCACGGGACTATTTGCCCTTCATAACAGGCTGAAAAACTGCCTCCAAGACTGAAGTGTGACTCGAGGTGTGCGTGAGTTGGTACAGTTGGCTGAAGGGTGACACTTCTGTTGGGTTGTTGTGCTGGGCAGAGCTCGGAGGAGAAGGTGCCCGGTCAGCTGCACTGTACGTTGAAGCACAAGGTTGGGTCTGTGCCTGTTCACAAGGACTGGTCAGCTGCATTACCAGATCGCTGCAGGATCTGCTAAATGAAATTCCCACCTGTGCTGGGATGACAGGATAGATCCCAGAGTTGATGGAATGGAAAACATGAGTGTTGCTCTTAACTCCACTGCAAAGCAAACCACATACACCGACGTCCCTGCTGGTACTGCTTTAAGACAGCACACACACCTGCTACCGTAGGGAGGGCCTGAACGGTTTGTCCCACCTTTGCTTGCTCTCACAGATCCTTCTCGACGGACTTCCATCTGTCCTGCTGCAACCGCAGCTCACTGGGGTCAAGTGGGCTAAACGATGAGTTTGTGATGGAGCAGTAAACATTTTACCCAAGGGGGAGCTCAGACCCCTACGGCCACAACTGTGCTAGATTTTAAGACTGACGCATTAACTGCCAGGCTCTGTTGGCACAGTTCACGGTCCGAGTACCCGCTGTGCGCTCTGCTCAGGAGCCTACTCGCTGCTGGCTTCCCCTCGTTAACTGGCGCGACTGTTTCCCCTGCAGAAAGCTCTAGGTTTGAGTGCAGCTGCACTGTAGAATGAATGTGCAGAATGCCTCCCTGTGCGTGATCTAACAAGTCTAAGAGAGCTTCTTTAAATGCTGTGCAGAACTGGTACGTGTAGTTACCCCGTTCACAACTCCGTCACGTTAAACAATCGCGGGAGCTGAAGGGCAGAGGCATGAGGTCAAAGAGATGCGCTAACAAACTGAGCTCGTGAACTGCCAGCACCTCACTTCGTGCATTGCTGACTTCAGAACTTAGCTTGAGGGAAGAAGAGACATTTTCCACAGACAGGCCTGGAGTGGCAGGACAGACATTCTCCAGCACGCTGTGCCTCTGGATGGAACAATTTCAGACGTTATCTAAACCCTAACCCAAGGGACAGGAAACCCTGCAAAAAGCAGGGGGACAGACACATAATTTTGTCTCCCACGGGCTATGGACTCGATGCTTAACAGTGTAACAGCTCAGCTACTGCGGAGCCTGGAATGCTGTGTTCTGCTCCAACTCTGCCCACATCCTAGTGACGACCAGGGCCCTCACAGTACACACCAGCTCTAGTGCCTTCTCTGCTGGCTGCGAGTAGCCCTGCCTGTCACCATTTTGGTTTGGATTTAAATAAATACATTTTAAAAAGGGAAATTATGGCTGTAAGTTAGAGCACAGGCTCACTAATGCCCGTGTCATTTTGCCCAGGGACCTAGAACAGGGCACTGACTTCAGAACTGACAAGAAACTCTTGCCTACAAGAGCTCAGACGTGTTTGGACCATCGCTGGTATTTCTGAGCCTTCCGACGCGGTCCACATTCCCCTCAAACCAAAATTTTCTGCAGATAACACAAACATGAGGATAACTGCAAGAAGGTAGGGCTGGAGGGATCTTCAGAGGATCTCAGGTTGCGTCCCCTCGGCTCGTCTCCAGTAAGGAGGGCAGCAGCAGTGACAGCGATGCTGGAGCTCCTTAGAAGTGACAAAGTAGCAGCGCTGTGCCCTAGCAGGAAACAGCCCGAGGGCTGCTTTCCCGTATCCTCTTGGCCTGCCTTCTGGGTCACACCCCTTGGCCCACAAGGAACAAGCTGCAGCCAAAACTGTTGCTTTTGCAACAGAAATAGGCAAGCTGCCCCCGAGCATGCAGAGGGGTCTGAAGGGAACGTTCCTTCCTGGTCTAGCACTACAACACGGGGCAGGTGTTGGGTAAACATAACAAATACAGGGCCCCTGGACACCGTTTTTGGATTGTGCAATCTAAGTAAGTCTCAGATTGAGAAAGAGATGAGGTGAATTCCCAGCTCAGAGTAAAAGAGGTAGTTATTCCTTATTCTGGGAAGTACTAGCACCTTATCCAAGGTTACACGGGCAATAATCACAGAATGTTTGTGTTGGAAGGGACCTTTAAAGATGATCTAGTCCAATTCATTTCAGTTTTGCCATGCGACTGTATGCAATATTTACTAGTTTTGGCCTCAGGTTTATAGACATGTAGAAGGATGAAAAACTTGATCCCTCTTCAGGAAACAGATTGCATATACAGATGTTTATCTTAAATAATATTGATTTCCCTATATGTTTTGATGATGATTCTAAGAGTGGAATCATGTTTTGAGGCAGGTATGAGGGTTTTTTATATATATATTTTTTAAACAACAACAATGCAGCTTCTAGTTAAAGTTGCTCCGGGCAAAGCCCTCTATTCATCTCCGCTTGTCAAGGGTCCCCTCCACCAACAGTCCAGCAAAACCAAAGATGAGCTGCAGCCCACCTGCTCACTGCAGGCTGGCTGGAAGCATCAGCAGTGTCTGCTCAGCTGGCTGCCAAGAGCTCGTAGGGGCTGTAGCTTTATGCTGAGGGCATTGCTCTGCACAGCTGTAACTTCTAAACAGGAGACACTGCCATTTCACAGTCCCTTCACCTTACCCATATGAGATGAAAACACATGTATCAAGAAGAGGAAATAGTGATTTTCCAACTCTTTGTCACAGAGTAAATTCTCAGACTTTATTGACAGCCAAGTTAGTTGAAATCATCAACACACGCTCCCTATGGACACCAAATTTAACAAATGCTTCCCCTTACGTTAACTACATGACCATTAAAAGTAAAAAAAAGCTCTGAATGGAAAGTTACGATTTATTGTAAAAAAACAAAGAAAGCCCTAACCCTCACTCAAACTTAACCAAGTGCACAGAAACCCTGCAGAAGAAAGGGACTTGGCTGTGTACACAAAGCAGAGCAGATAAAGTGGAACCGTTACATATGGAGATAAGGCAGGTACGTTCTGGGAAAGCCAGCCAACCTCCTCCGAGGGCAGCGCGCGCACCCAACGAGCGCGGTACGGCACCGGCACGCTGGAGGAAACGGCGTTAGTTAAGCACAACAGCTCGTTTGACAGCAACAGGCACCGACATCATCCCTGTTGTGTAACCTCTCCACACGCTGCAGGTGCCTGGCTCCTGCTCCAACTCTTACTGTAAGAGCACGGGGTGTTTCCGATAGAAGGATCTGTGCCATTTCCAATGTCAAAATCTAAACTCCAGAAGATCTAGTTTTCTTTTTTTGAAGCAGTTCTGTACTGACTTTTCCACAAGCAACGCTGTTAACAGATAAAAGCCTGCCACTAATTGTCTCCCTGTAACTTCATTTTCTCCAGTGAAGTAAGCAACCCCCCTCTGTGAAGTCTTTCTGGCCATCGAGATGAAACAGACTGCACGCCTCCAAGTCTGAAAATTATATTACTAGGTCCTATTTTGATGAAAACAAAGGCAGTATTTTGCAGCATTACAAGACTACATAAAAAGATGCTTATAAAGAAATATTTTCAAGTTATCTCATGACCAAATTATGGATTTTAATAAAATTTGGTTCCAATGCATGTGGTTTTTGTTTAAATAGCCTCTGTAAAAATTAAATATTGCCCAGACACCATGGCCTTCTGATAAAAATGTGAGAGTCTGACAGTGAAGGGGCTCAGAACTAGAAGCCTAGAAGGAAACTTGCTTAAAGATGTATGAAGTGCAGAGTACTGGTACAAAGCTTAAAAGAAACAAAAGAAAATAAAATCCAAGTGATTTGATGAATCTTCATATTCTAGCAGGTGTTTAGAAAACTTTTTTCTTGGCAGCATCCATCTAAAAACACTTTCATAGACCTTCATATAAAGATTATTTTAAGAAGACAAGCAGCCCTTTCATTTTCCAAAATACCAAAATTCATCATAGAATTACCAGTTAACCTGGACTTCAGTAAAGCCACTGACAGTTTCCCACAGCATTCTCCTGCAGAACTGGCTGCTCATGGCTGGGACGGGTGTACTCTCTGCTGGGTAAAAAACCCTGCCTGGATGGCCCGGCCCAAGGAGCAGTGGTGGTGGAGTTAAATGCAGTTGGTGGCCAGTCACAAGTGGTGTTCCCCAGGGCTCAGTACTGGGGCCATTTCTCTTTAATGACTTTATCAGTGACCTGGACAAGGGGATCCAGGGTATCCTAAGTAAGTTTGCAGAAGACACCAAGCTGGGGAGGAGTGTGGATCTGCCTGAACGCAGCAGAGCTCTACACAGGGATCTGGACAGGCTGGATTGCTGATGGGCTGAGGCCACAGTGTGAGGTTCATCAAGGCCAAGTGCTGGGTCCTGCACTTGGGTCACAACAACCCCCTGCAACACTACAGGATTGGGGACGAGCAGCTGGAAAGCTGCCTGGAGGAAAAGGACCTGGGGATGTTGGGTGACAGCGGCTGAGTATGAACCAGCAGTGTGCCCAGGTGGCCAGGAAGGCCAACGGCATCCTGGCCTGCAACAGGCACAGTGTGGTGAGCAGGACTAGGGAGGTGATTATCCCCCAGTACTGGGCACTGGTGAGGCTGCACCTCGAATCCTGGGTTCAGTTTTGGGCCCCTCGCTGCAAGACAGACCCTGAGGGGCTGGAGTGTGTCCAGAAAAGGGAACAGAGCTGGAGTACAAGCCCTGTGAGAAATGGCTGAGGGAGCTGGGGGCTCCCTGAAAGAAGGGTGCAGAGAGGTGGGTGTCTGCCTCTTCTCCCAAGTAACAAGTGACAGGACAAGAGGAAATGGCCTCATGTTGCACCAGGGGAGGTTTAGATTGTCTATTAGTAATCTCAAGGATCTGTTCCAACCTAAATGATTCTGTAATTCTAATTCCACCGTCCTGCAGTTTGTTGAAATATCACAACTGATGTGCACAGTCATGTTGCACAAACAGATATGGGCAATTGAGAAATATGCTTAGAGTTTAACAGCGAGTTTATTTAACAAGTCCTTCTGTCAATCAGCATTCTTAACCATTAATCCACTCCTGAAAAATATTTCCCTCCCATTTTAAAACTGGGTTTAAAATTAATGTGTTTCAAACGGGCATGACCACTCCACATGATTTCAGAGAGGAAAAAAGTTACCAAAACAAGCACTTCTACCACAACTCAAAGTCGTCGATGTCATTTACAGGATATTTCCAAGGAATGGCTTCTCAGGTTTGCAAACAACCAACCTTAAACACCACAGCTGAATACTTAAGGACTCATATCCTTAACACTTAAGTCATACAGACTCAGAAAATAAATTCAGGAATTTTCAACTCAAAAACCTGTGAGCTTAATTTCAAGATAAATACTGGTTCATTTTGATTTAAGTTCTAGAGTTCAAAACTCATCTCCAAAGGAATAAGGAATAACCATCAACAGTTCCTGGCCAGATACCTGCCAGGTGGAGACTGGCTCCATGCAACTTTTAGACAGGAGTACGTTTCTTTAGAGCACGTTAAACTTAAGAGGCACTTTAATATACAATCATTACAGTAACAAAGTTCCCAAAGTTTTCCAAGTTGTTTTCTATGCTTGCTGAGACCACAAAAACCGGTCGCACCTTTCCAACATGGACTGAATCAGCGCTCTGCAATTAAAGCAAAGAGGAGGGGTGTGGGGGGGAAGTCAGAGTTAACAAAAAAGCTAACAACAGAAAGAACAAGAGAGTTTATTTAGACATGCTTTTTAAAGAAAAATTTGTCAAAAAGGTGACGTGTGTCAGAAATAAGATCATGACATCACCATGCACACATTCTCTGAAAGGGATAGATGAGATCAGGGTCTGTACAGAACTCAGCCAGACCGCTTTCTCCTTCAGAAAAACTCCTTCACATACATCCTTAACGTATGATTTCCTGTTCCCCCATTTTTCATTTTAAAATGCCTATACTGCACAACACACAGCTCTTAATAGAAAAGCTTTCAGCCGAGTTTCAAATCCAACATACAAATGTGAAGTACTTCAATGTTCAGTTAACTGAAAAGAAAGTTTAAAGCACCAAGAAGATCCCAAACAAATAGGGGCATACATGGATCTTCTGTTGATGTGTCATCTTACCTTTGTCTTTTCTCAGCAATTCTCAGTATCTCGCAGACACCAGTAAATCTCTCGGACAATTCTAGTGTCAAGCCACACTCCTGCAAGAGAGGCAAGGCACGATTTGGGCCAACGGCCTTTGCCAGTAGGAGCGCTACGTTCTCTACAGTGACGCAGTCCGGGCAGCTCGGGCTACCATTGCTGACAGCATCCCCATTCTGCGGCCCACGGTGGTGGAAAGCCGTGCTGTGATTTTGTGCAAGATGCAGAAGAAACTTCCATTCTTCTGCGGTCTCTGGAATGGGACCTAGATGTAAAAGGAGTTTGTTACGTTATTTGTAAAACAAGGATTATCCTAAACCTAGTATTTGAAACAGGTCTGTACTGAAAAGGGAAGCTAGCTGTTCTGGTTTTCTCCGTGAAGATTAGGAACACCACACGTTACCAACAAGCAAATTGTGTACAGAAGTGCACTGCCCTGACTGACTCCATGTAAAGGTTCAGTGGTGAACTACACACAAAGCTTCGCAACAGTTCAGTATTTAAGGCTTTGGATTAAGCCAAGAGACAAAGAATAGTTTTGTCCATTTTAGGGCTACTGGGAGTCTAAGTTCTGCCACGCGATACGATGCTTTGCTCGTTGTAACTTTGCGTGTGCACATGCAGTGGAGCTGTGGTGCTGGGAGGCTGGTGACCCTCTAGCTACAACACGAAGTTTAGCTTTTACTCCCAACTCATAAACAACTCTACATTCTTGAACTTTTAAGCAGTTTCCAAGACAACTGATTTCATAAAGCAAGTGTGAAAATACAAGAGTGTAACACCCATTTATGTGTTTCAAATATGCTGCACTATGCCCAGTGCTACCAAAAAACAAACAGAGAAAAAGTTAAACGCAACTCTGGACAAACTGAATCAGTATATAATAAGGGCAGTTCCTATATTACAGAAGTATGTTTACACAGCTTAAGACTCACTAACCATCTTCTCCATTCAACAGGCTCAAATCATCCAAATGAGCAATATTAGTAAAGGCTTCTATTCTTCTATCCAGCTCCAGACAGAGAAAAATATATCCAGGCCAAAATCTTGAATAAGAGAGTAAAGATTTCCAGGAATCAAATACTCAGTCTAAACTACAGACAACAATAATTAAATGCTCATTTAAATATCAGTGAAGACAGAAAGCAATGGAATTTCTTGAATGCCACACATCACTGCAGAGTGGGAACTCGGGGAACACACCTTAGCCAAAAGGGGCATTTGGTACATTAAACTGGCCACTCAGCATTCATTCTCAAAACAGGAAAGGTTAAGTAAACCCTGTCCAAGTAAGAAGCCAGCAGATGGGTTTCACTTGTATCTTTTTGGGGTCAGAATACCAACTAACCAAGTAGCAAGAACTACCAAGCTTTCTTCTTACCCATGTGATTTACAGATGTCAGCCATCTTCCCTTTCGTACCAAAGTCACCCGGGAGTTTAATCAAAAGCAGAATGAGCTGGCTGTAGCCCCACGTAAACAAATGCGATCGTGGCCTAGAAGGTAAGGAATTTTAAAGCGTTAATGGTCATCTTCAGAACATGATGTTCTAAAAAGCAGCACACATCTCTACAGGAAGGGCAGGTATATGAAAAGAGAGAAGGAAAAACCAGTGAGACACTCTCTAGTCTCAGTACAACAGTCACTCTGAAAAATACTACAGTTAAAGTTATTTAATACTTTCGATGGTTCTACTGAACTCTGCAATATGGACAAAGCTTCAGTGGCACCTAAACTGTCATACAAAATCTAAGCCAAAAGCCTGCAGACCCGTTAAAGCTTTTTGCTGCACTCAGGACCTTGGGTGAACCCTACTTTACCTGGGATTTCCTTCCGCATCCACAGTATCGGCTCTTTGTGGTGCATCACGAGAGACTGCCAAGCGCAACCAATCCAGTCGTACAGATTCGGGCTGCAGAAGAGATCTGAGGAGAGGCGACCTGTAACACAAAACACAGAAAACCCCACCAGTTTTAAATGTAGCAGATCTGGAGAAGTAGAGAGTGTGGCAGAATAAAAAAATAATTAAAAAACCCCACAAACACCAAAATATGGATGTAAAGTGAAATACACAAAAGCCTAGAAGTGTTCTATGTTTCTAGAAACTGAGGAGACCACAAAAACCCATCCAGTTTGTAGGTTGGGTTCCCCCCAGTTTTTTGGTTTGGTTCTGTTTGGGTTTTTTTGATGCTGTCTCACCTCGGTACACTGAACCGCAGGCATGGGAACAAAACCAGTTCAACTGAAAATGCTATTAGAAAAACCCTGTTAAAACTAACATCTACCAAAAACGGACAGAACGAATCGGAATCTAATGCTGAAGAACACCAAGCAGATAGCTACAGAAACAGTAAAGAAAACCCCAAACAAACAAACACCACACAGCTACATGATAAAGACAGACACATGAAAACCATTCCATATCCCTTTTACCTTTTATCCTCTGGCTTGGATTTCACCAGACTATCTAAATATGCTAAAAAGTGAGCTGGATCATTCCTGCAAAGCTGTTTGATATCAGAAGGCAAAATAGAGGGGTGGAACTTGATCAAGGGCCGAAGAGCTGTTTCCCCAAATTTTTCATAAAGCCTGGAGAGAGACCATAAAAACTATTTTCAGTACCACACAGCAAAATTACCATTTTTCCATTTTTATCTTGCAAGTTCAAGACAGTACTGAAAGGTGACCGCGTTAAAAGATTCCCAGAAAGCTTCACGACGCGTTCAGTGAACCACTTCCTGCTACCAAGTTAATAACCCCGGAGAAAAAAGAACTGGGCTACAAACCTTTGAGCATGTGCCAGTAAGAGCGGGCTGTCACCCCACGGCCCCAGGTCATGCAGCTGTCTCAGTATCTTCAACATATCTTCATTTTCCATTGCTAAAGCCACTGGACTGTGACAAGTTAGTTCTGAAATAAATCAGTGCACAAGTTACAAGATACGGGCAAGGTTTTTTTCCTAAACACACACACACAGAGTTGTTGTTAAGCCTAAGGACAAAAGTTACCACTGCTTTCATGTAGCTCACAGCAGTAACAACCCAACAGATCCTACTTGTTCATTTCACAGAAATCAACAGCGCTGACCTGTGCTTACAGCACATGACAGTTAAAACGTGACACAGTTAATGCATGGAATAATATTCGTGATAGATGTTACCTTTTTTTTTTTTCTTGTGAGAAAAGATAGCCCACTGAAGGACATATGGCTGGCTGAATGTAACGCAGGTCTGCACCAGTTCTCATATATTACAATTTGCTTCTATTAATAAATAAAAACTTCAGCTTGAACACTGACTTCACAGAAGGCCTAATTCAACACAAACCTTGATCCTGATGAAAAGCAAGTATTAACCTACAGGCACAAGCCACCTCCAACTGAGGACAGCCTGGGAATGCATGCCTTATTTCCACTTCTAGGGCTCTCAGAATCCAAATAGCAAACAGATTCCCAGAAACCCAAATACCACATACCAGCCCTCCAAGAAAGATGCTGTTGTTTGACTACTCTGTTGGTGCCAAATCAATAATCAGACTTGAATTCACTCTTAAAAGAAATGCATAAAGCAGAAGCTGAATGTGGAGAACAGCTGAAGTTCTGTTTTCCAGTATAACCAGGAAGCTTTGGTCCAATAAGGCTAAAGAGGCATCAAAAAGATCAGAAAGGATTTCTGTGGAAAAAGGAAGCTTGATGTGAACAAGCTACTCATTTGCATGGAACCATCTATTCCATTCAGTTTTCCTTCACATTAACTATGTTTCTCTGCAAGTCAAATCTTCCATTTCCAGTGCAAATACTGAAGTCCCTCCTCCTGCCTTGTTTCTAGAAACATGTGGTTCTATGCAAGGTGATTTTGCTCTCTGAAGCACCTGTATTTCTTTTGTAATCGCTACAGTGTTCAAGCAACAAGCTCCATGTAAATTAAAAGGTTGGGAATTGCAAGGTGAGGGAGGAAAGGTAGAGTCTCTCCAAGGAGCCAGCGGTTCTTCCCAAGTTCGCCTTTGGGGGAAAAACACACTACACCTGCAGAAGGAAAATCTGCAGACACAAATAAGTGTCTAAGCTTTTTTCTTTTTTTCTCCCAAACAGACTTAGTTTCAGTTTACTTTAACAACCTGTTCATTAGTTACCTTTCAATCCCGTGATGTACGTCTCCCACACATCAGGGCAGGTCGCGTACGTGGTTATGATACACTGCTTGAGTCTTTTTAAATCCAAAAGAAAGAAGTAGCTTCGCATAAACCTGCAAGCCAAGGTCCACGAAGCTGCTAGTGGCAGACTTCCATCAGCGCGTTCCTCCTCACCATTTCCACAAGAAAACACGCACAGCTCAAAGCACAGTGTTGTCAACTCAACGAGGTCTTTCTGAACAGCCGCTTCGATGACACACGGAGGGGACACTTGAAAGCAGCAGTCCAAAGGTCCCTTCAAATCAGTACCATTTTCACACGTGGCTTTGCTTGCACAGGTTTCATCAGTATTTTCCTTTTCAGTGCAGTCTCCCAAGATACCACTCTCTTCTTTGTCTGCTGGGTCTCCATCAGCTGGATCCAGCCACAGGTTTTCCTCCCGGCCTGCCCTCTCTTCTTCAGCAGACACAGTCTGGCTTTTCTTAACAGAGGAAGCAGAATGCTCCTTGCTGCCAAACTTCTCGTCCAGATAGATAAGCCACTCCTGTAAAACCCTCCTCATACACTGTGGTTCTAACAGAACCAGGGGATCCTGGAGTTTGGCTCTGTAGCATAAAAAAAGAAGTTTGCCTAGTTGTTTGACAGTAACAAGATACCACAAGTGAAGTTTTGTATTTCTTTGTGTACCTCAAATCACATTCCTAAACTTGACTTAGTTGGTTCTTGTTTTTGTGTTTTTTGAGTGCATCAAACAGCGTTTAGGCCACTTAGGCTGTCTACATTTGATACCAGTACATCCAGAGTTCCTCAAGATTTCCTTCAGAACGGATTTTTGTTTCTTACATGTTTTGTCTGGTTTGTGGGTTGTTTTTTTTTTAACTATGTTTGTCATTAGAACAAAAGAATAATGCTAGAATACCTAAATAACTTTTTAGTGTGTTTTGCTTGGTTTTAAATAGGGAAAAAAAATCTTTAACTATACGAGATCCTTTCACATTCTGTTCATAGATGTCTACAACATTACTCTTACCTCTATGTAATTAATAATAGTTAAAAAAAAAAAAAAGAGTAATTTAAAAATAATCAATCGTTTTTCTACCAAAGCCCAATATATCTCTATACACTAAAAAGTTTCCTCACTTACATAGCTTCTGCTGTTGCAGCCTTGAGGTGTCTTAGATGGTCCTCCTCTGGAAGCTGGCAGCTCTGTGGTTCTAACCTAGGAAAACACATCATTTCAGCCTTAGCTGTAAGTATTATCTTTAATAATTTGAGTGAAGACTATTATCTCAGGAAATTTGTGAGGAAGAGAACATTAATTAATTTATTAAAAAAATCAAGCTTTCTAAAGAAGGAACAGCTAAACAGACATTATGAATGAATTTGGCATGAGGAGCAACCAATAACACCATTTTTGCAGCCTTCTATAATAGCTTTTACTCCAACTACAGTATGTTTCATGGCTACCAGTTAAAAAAAGGAATTTTTTTAGGGTGATAAGTGTTTACTCCCCACTCAGAAAGGGCAGGAAATGAACTGTTGGACTCACGTCCACGACTAAAACAAGCCCCATGGATCAGCAATTCTCACATAGTGTAATACACTACGCTCCTGCTCTTCAGTTACTACAGCACCACAGAGACTGCATGCTCTGCCACCAGTGTTCACCGCCTGGTCAGCTTCTAAGAAAGGAGGCAGGGAGAACCAGTGAAAGCCACCATAGTAACAAAGGCAGCTGGAAAACCTAACCCTGAGTTCACCATTCTATTGGAAATGGTAGTTTTTCCTTTAGGCCGCTATCCACAGAATCCCCAGAAAATGCAATTGCTAAGAAAATGTGATTTTGCACTCACTCTTTCTCTTCCTGCTAAAAAAAGTCAACTCCTGCAGCTGCTCATCATCCTTCACTTCTTGCCTCCCTCTAGGATCAGGACTTATATGAAGCGTGCCGATCTTCTCGGTAGTTTTGCGTACAAAGCTGGAAACACTAGGAGCCAGAAGTTGAAATGTTTAAAATGGGAAGCTCAGAACCAAACAAATGGAGCGCTTCCTTTCCATTCAAACCATGATTTCAGAGAACTTTATAATCTGAAGACCTCTAGAGAGAAGGATGAGAGCAGCGGTGAACAACAAGAATAAAACTCATTAAGAAGCTGCTCAAAATTTATACTTCAGTCATGGGTCCATACTTCCAGCACAGAATAAAAACCTGAAGTACTTAAGACTAGGTTTTTTTGCTGCTGGAAAAACAAGGCCCCATACTAACAATAGCATTTAGGAGTTGACATACATTTGTATGCAAATAAATGCAGATTGACTATATTGCATTTTATAAACAGTTTATAAACAGAAATCATCCTTAGAGAATTATGTCCCTCTTAGCAGTAAGAAACTGTTATACAATAGTCCAAGTTAATTCTTCAGATTACAAAGCTCACTAAAAATGTCCTTTCACATCATCAGTCCCTATCCCTTCAGGTATTTTGTTCAAGAGAAAGCCCAGTGAACATACCAAAATCAAATTATTTCCACCACTATGAACTATGTCATCAAGAGTTGAATGGAAAAAAAAATCAGCTTCTACAACTGTTTATGGTTCAGAAAGAATTCAGAACATTGCACTTACTTCTGAATCACAGAATGGTTTGGGTTGGAAGGGACCATAAAGATCATCCAGTTCCAACCCCACTGCCATGGGCAGGGGACACCTTCCACTAGACCAGGTTACTCCAAGCCTCATCCAGCCTGGCCTTGGACACTTCCAGGGATGGGGCATCCACAGCTTCTCTGGGCAACCTGTCCCAGTGCCTCACCACCCTCTCCGTGAAGAACTTCTTCCTGATATCCAATCTCAATATCCTCGCTTTATATTTAAACCTGTTACCCCTTGTCCTGTCAAGCCCAACTCTCTCAGCCTGTCCCCATAGCAGAGGTGCTCCAGCCCTCTGAGCATCTTCGTGGCCTCCTCTGGACTTGCTCCACTCGCTAAAGGTTATTCTGAGATCCCCACACTACTGATATCAGTAATCTTTTTTGTTGCAGGACATAATTCAGACACCTAAGTGATCAAGGGAGGGCTACACAATTTTTCAGACCATCATTATGGGCCAGCAATATTTTAGCTAAGAAACTGACATAACTAATAATTTTTTCCCAGATTTTCATGTATTTAACATTTTAAAATAGCAATTTGATTTCTGCACAAAACAGACACTACCATATTTATTTGCACCAGGCATAAGCTACTATTATTTCATAAACACTTGGGCAATTAAATTAACTGAAGGGAAAAAGGTTGGCAGACCACACAGTATCCTTTGCAAGTGTTTTAGCAATATCCAGCATGCACTGAATGTTTTAATATTTGTCTCCAAGCAACACAGGAAGACTTTGCTCATTCCTCAGAAATCTAAGTAGCAGAAAAGCACAATCCCAAACAATATTCAGGAAGTTTGCTTTGAATACAAACCACAACCAGTTTGCAGCATCACATTAAAAATTCTTAGCTAGGCAAACATTCTTAGCCATTTAAAAACTGAGGTTGAAATCTTGGCTCCACTGAAGTTAACATCAGCTCTTCTTATCTTCATTGGAGGCAAGATGGCAGCTGTACATTCTCTAGCACATCTGACTGCATCTCCAGCGCTTCAGTTCACGTTACTTTTTTGCAGAACAGACTATAACTAAGCCAGACAATGCTACAAATTCAGAGGACAGAAAAAGGAAAGATGTAATGGATGAGTGAACCTCCTGCAAGTTTTACCTTTCTTTGACAGCTTGGAGAGAGACGAGAGGAGATGGGGAACGAAATGACAAAGGAATACTGAATGGGAGAAATGTCTCATTCCGGTCAGCCTCAACCATCACAGATGCATGAGATACATTGTCTAACAAATGGAATTGAAATAAAGAGTCATGAAACAGTGGCCTGGCAAAAATGGAACAGTGAAACAAACTGCAAGTCACATTCATTAATGGATAACCTGCATAGGATAATATTCCAGAATGTGGGAAGCCTGAAAAGTTGGATTTCAAGGGTCATTTTATTACTGTCCTTGAATCTGGCAGGTCTGCTCTGCTAATAGTCTCTTGGCTCTATAACAAGGCAAATAATGATCAACACCTGTGTGAAATCTTCTAAAAGTAGATTTACAGCCCATTTAGAGGACAAAAATCTTTATTTAATCCACTGACAGTTACTTAAACATCTAGGAAAATTAAGTATCGTGGCATACACCAATTCACATTGCATGACTTCCTAAAGCCCAAATCACATATGAACATACAGAGACACATAAGCCATGGTTAACGTATAAATCCCTGTTATTTGAACTGACTTCAAAATATAACTCAACCCATAGTGCACTGGCTTTTGATAAGAACCACAGAAAATATAGAATCACCGACTATTTCCTTTTCACTATTATATCCCTAACAGTATCTATAATGTGTTTTCACTAATAATTTCCTGGTACAAACACACACTGTATCTTTAAGTGATGTAAATAAGAAAAAAAAAAAGATTCTTTTAAGTAAGGATGACACTGCATTTTGTAACAGTCAGCACTGTCTGCACTGTTGCCAGGAAAAGATGCCATCCTGTGACAGGAATTCTATCATCAGAATCTGCAATCTCTCTAGACAGTGCCTAAAGGTCACAAAAGATATTAAGATTTCTTGTAAATAAGGCTGTTTTTGTTCATTGTGCAGATAAGAAACCTAAAAACGTGTGACATCTTACGTAAATGTAAGCAAGGAAACACTAACTCCATTTCTCTTAAACACCAAATCAGTACACATGCTTTCAGAATCATCTACAAGTTCTCTACTTCGAAACAATCAGAATTTGTTCTCTCTTGTTGAGCAGATAGAACCTTTCCATCTCCTAGCACTCAAAAATTACATCCCTTCATTTTAGAGTTTAAAATCAGAAATTACACATTTCCTTCCAAGTTTTCTCAGCTGTTGTTTTTATGGGGATGTAGGTAAAAAGGCAAATGTAAACTTAAGTGCTACAAACAGCACGTAGCTTGGTCAGCAGCTAACACTACTGACAAAGAAAGGGAGTAAACACTAATTCCTACGCTCTTGCTCTCCATGGTGGTTTTCCCCCAACAAACCACCCAAATTCTCTCCATCCTCAACTGGCATCTACGCTCTGCAAAAGCTGAAGAGCAGCTTTTTTACTGGAAAGCCTCTTTACCATACCTGGAACTAAGCCAGCTCCTCATCATGCCAGGGTTATGCATCCCCTCCCAAACCCAACCAGAGCAGAGAACAAGATCCATGATTGTCTCACTCCAGCTTTCATCCAGTGACAGACATTTGCTAGGAAATAAAAAAGCTCCAGGGATGGTCTAAATGTTAGCTAATAACAATCCTATCATCCCTATGCTACTGTACACACAGGTAGGAGATGATCCCCTTTACAAATTCAACTCTGCAGGAAAGTTAAGAACACACCGTAAGCCTACTCTTTTCCCTGAAGAAATTTAAACCCACAGCCAAGGTTAAGAAATTCTTTCCTGAAACCAATACTAGTGGAAGGATAGCATCAGCAAACAAGTCTGATTTGAAGCCCAATTAACACTGGCATAGTCAGCTGATGGAATCTTAGCATTAAAGCTGAAGTGCGGGGGTGGGGAGCCTGGCTTGGTAAAAGCCCTCTGGACCTTCTGTTCTGTTTCTCTGGGTTGTATTTGGTGTAAAGCTTGGAATTCTGTGGAGCCAGCATTTCACCCCAATGTTTCAAAAAAAGAGTTTCACTGGAAGATGGGATGACTGTGTTCCCACTGATGACATTACAGGATCTTATCATGGGTAACAACAGTGGAAAATAAGAGCAGAGTCAACCCAATCAAACGATTGTAGAATAAAAATTGCATCCGAATAATGTATTTTCATTAAGAAACATTACCAAGTTCTACTTGCTCATCTTCCTGGTGTGCAGGAAATTCTTTAAGTCTCTCATCTTCTGAGAACGTTTGACTGTGCAGAGAACATGAATCTTCATCTGACTGACTGCCTCTTCGACTGATAACACGATATATTCCGGAGTCTAAGACACTGAAACTTTCCTGCCAGACAAGGGAGAGGAGTTACACGTTGTGAGAACTGTACTTTCTTGAATGAGTTTATAGTTAAAATAGTTCTGAGTATTTGGACCTTCAGTATTCACCACATGAAACCACAGTTACAATCAACGTGACCTTTACTGAGGCATGATAAGACGCTACACTCAGCTGTGGACAAACTCTTCCGCCTATCAATCTTTGTCCACACCTCAAGCATTAGCCACAAAATAATATGGAAAAAAGGCAGAGGTTTAAGTGCTTCAAGAACGCAAGTAGCAGTATTCCATACCTCTCCACCCCACCTAACTTTAGTAAGTGGCATTATCAGCTACAGTAGACACGGTAAAAAGGAACGCCTCATCTTCAAAGTGAGTAATGAGGCAATTTTAAGCCACAAAGATAAAATCTGCAGGTAATAATTCTGGTACTACCAATACACTTACATGAGATGAAATACTGCTCCTCCTACTGCTGCACGCAGAATCTAGAGGTTCCAACTTTGAAATCAGTTCTTCCAGCTGTGTAATGAGATCTTGTTGGGTTGAGGCATCCAGCTGAGACTTCAAGTGCTCCAGCTTCTCTAGAGGCAAACTTTTTCTTGCCTAAAATTACACAGTGAAACAGAAACACGATTATTATTTCTAATGCACATGTGAAAAGCAAAAGGTATCATGTTTGCAGGCTAATATTCACCCTAAAGTATATTTAGAAAACTTTTTAAAAACTCCAAGAATCTCAATCTCAGAAACCTATGGAACTTAATGGAACAGGGAGACAGGAGGCAGCGAAGCTGCACTGCACATTTACCAATAAGTATTTACTTACTCTGCAAGAAATGACAGAATTCTGGAAGAGACAACAGACCCTGGTGGCAAGTGACCAGAAGCCTCTTCTTATCAGACGCTCTATGCAGCGGTCTACCGGCAGAAGGGAGAGGTGCACAACTTTCCCATTTGTATGCAGACAGAACAACTCACTTTTGTACACTGCAATATCCTGAATATCTGCAAAACCAGATGCACAGAAATATCTAAATGACTGAAATCGTTACTCATTCCTTTCTGCTCCCGAAAGAAGTGAAAACATTATTTCCCATCTGCCTGCAAATGCATACAAAAGCCTAACACACTGTTAGCATAAGGGGCATGGGGAAAACAAACACCGAAGAGGCTGAGTTGGCATCTAACAACTATACAGCACAGTTAAAGTATTAAAAGTTTTCCGAGTTGCATTTCTAGGAAGCATTCAAAAAGTACACTGAAGTCACTGAAAAGTTTCCTTTTCCTCTGAAAGGGGATGAAAAACTAAAGACTGGTAAAGCTGAGAAATACATCACCGAGAGCTTTGAAACAGCAGGAAAACATGTGCCAGTAGAAGAACACTTAGATCTTCTAGCGGTTTTCAGATGACATAGTTATATGCAAACACTCCATGACAAAGGCATTGGAAACTTACACCAAAAGGGGGGGAAAAAGGGGAAGGAAAAGACTGACAGTGACTAACTGTTCTAGAACTATGCCTAAAACCATACACACAAAACCGTTTGAGGCTTCCCTCATCCACCAAATAAGTCCATCCCCCAGCTCCAATATAAACAGGTGCTAGAAAAAACAGATTTTAAGCTTTTGGCTGCCGTATTATCCTTCACAGGACAGCTGACAAGAAACGTGAATGAACAGAAATGAGGAAAAGGATACTGCAGGTTATTACCCCTCACTACCTGATTACTTTATGTTAAGATTCACTCTACGTTTTGTTTCTCAAGCATGTTTTCAGAAGCATGGAGGGAAGGGATGGACAGAGGGTTAATGTTCAAGGATATACGTGACAGATGACAAGGAAAAAGTCTTCTGATCAATGTTCTGCAAGCCAGCTGCAGAAATTGAGCCTGAAAAGTCTCAGTCCCAGGCAAGGACTTCAGAAGTGACAGACTATATTACAAAGCAAGGGTTCTTCGTTTACCTTTTACTTCACTCCAGAGTAAGACTTCAACACTTTGGGGAAGAAAAATATAAATTCCTCTTTCTGTCCAGGTCATCACACAGTGCTCACTGCAAGCAAAGCAGATGTTAATGGTGCAACAGTCAATTGTGGTAGTCACTGCAAAATATGCAGGGATGGCACTGGCTTACAAGCAAGAAGTGAGTTGTTTAACATGATACCTGGAAAACTCACACAGAAAGATGAAGTTGATAATATAAATTACGAGAATATACAACTTTTTTTATTTTTAAGTCTATTTTATCAACAGGAAGCTATGCTGACAAATACTCACGTCAAATACAGTAGCTTGGGAAAAGATAAAGATTGTGCAGAGCAGCTGGAATTAGTATAATGAGGATCCAGCCTGTAAAGTAAAATTGGAATCCGTTACAAGCCTTACAACACCGTTTCCTTAACAGAACATTCTTCACCCTGGAAATACAAGGCTGGCTTAAATAAACATAGTCTTACGAGAGCAGCATTGGTTGCGAGTCACACAGACCTGGAGAATCGAGGCTTTGGCATATTTGGTAACTCAGCTACTGGTTTCCGTTATTAGAGGAGAACACATCTAAGATGACAGCTAGGATTAACGCCTGACTGCGCGAGGAGGCCGTTTAACCTTCTCACTATTAAGGCAGACCTTTTCAGTTAGAAGTCCCAAGCAAGTTTAGCACCAATATCACTCATGTTTCTACCTGAGAGTAACAACAGGGAGAGGTGGTGACGACAGCAGCTGCTTGAACTGATGTGTGCTTTGCACTTCCCCATCAAAGTTCACCTCCCACATCCTTGAGCCAGGTCGAGCACAATATATCAATGGCTGCTGACTCCCACTGTTTTTTCCAACAGGGAAGAAACATGCTCCAAATTCTCCATCTCTCTCTTTGTTACCAATTTTCCAGAACTTCTCTCTAGTGGAAAACACATACGTGTTAAGGCAGCATTAATAAAAGTTCTAATTAATTTTATGTTCTTGAAGAATAAAAACACTAAATCCTTGTTGCTGAATTGGTTCTTGTGCTTTTAAAAAAAAAAAATCTGTAATAAATATAAACTTTATGCAGGCTTTCTAATAAAAGCAAAGGTGCAGAAATAGTAGTTTAAACGAAATATCAGATCATGAGAGTTGGGTTTGTGGGTTGGGTTTTTTTTTTCCAGCAGAACCAGTCAGTCAACATGGTGATGGGAAAGTGATGGAGCAAACGATCCCAGAAACCATTTCTAACCACATGAAAGATCAAACAGGGATTACAAATAGTCAGTACGGATTTACAAAGGGGAAACAGTGTTTATAGCCCTCTACAACAGAATGACTGTCTTGACAGCTGAGAGCAGTGGATGTTGTTAATCTTGACTTCAGTAAAGCTTCTGACACTACCCCTCCTAATATCTTCACAGACAAACGGAGGAAGTGTGAGCTAGATAAACAGACGTGGAGAAACACAAGGTCCTGCACTGGGGGACGGAATAACCCCAGGCACCAGGATGAGCCAACTGGCTGGAAAGCAGCTTTGTAGAGAAGGGCCTGGGGGTCCTGGTGAACAAGCTGACCAGGAGCCAGCAATACACCCTTTTGGCAAATGAGGCCAAGAGCCTCCTGGGCTACGGGAGGAAGAGTATTGCCAGCAGGTCAAGGGAGGTCGTACTTCTCTTCTCAGACTGGTGAGACATGTCTGGAGTGCTGTATCGGGTTCTGGGCTCCCCAGTACAAGAGACATGGACATGCTGGAGCAAGTCCAGCAACAGGCCACAAAGACAACTGAGGGACTGAAGCACCTGTCTCAGGCTGAGAGAGCTGGGCTGGTCAGCCTGGAACAGGGAAGGCTCAGGAGTGGAACTCATCTGATCCCATGTGTATAACTACCTGATGAGAGACTAAAGGGGACAGAGCCAAACTACTCAGTGGTGCCCAGGGAAAGTACAGGAGGCTACGGACATAAATGGAAATACAGGAAATTCCATTTCAACATAAAAAAAAACTCTGTTACTGTGAGCGTGGTGAACCACTGGAAAATGCTGCCCAGAGAGCTTGTGGAGTCTCCATCCTTGTAGATGCTCAAAACTTAACTGGACACAGTCCCACACATTTTACTCTGACTCTGCTTTAGGCAGGAAAATTGGACCAGATGATCTCCAGAGGTCACTTTAGAGACACTGTGTGGCTCCATAAAGTCCAGTATTTTACAAGTAAAACATAACTTGCCTCTCAGTATCACACAAATAAGTGCGTGTAAGTGAAGATATGAGCAGTCTTCCATCCAAATAATCAAGCTGAACAACCCGAGAATCTACGGTGGTTATAATCTGAACAGGAAACATCACAAAAGTAGCAGCAGCCTACAGTTAAAAAGATAAAAAGAAAGAAAACATACAGGGCCTCAGTTCAAAGTAAAGACTATTTCATGAAGTTAAAAATCACAGAATTCAGGAAGGACACGTATGCAAAGAATACACAGACTAAGACAGAGCAGTTCATTTCACCCTCTTACAAAACAAGGCTTCAATGCTTGGAGGCACAGAAGTCTAAATCCTCCTTTTCCCAAAACTGTTATTGAAGGTTTTAGTGGGAAAAAAAACTTCCCTGTAGCATCCTGCCATTTCTTTGCAAGAGTGTGGTTTTTTGTAACATCAAGAGGGGGTTTTATGCTTGCTTTTGTAAGATTTGTGCTTTTGTCTATTCTCTCCCACAGGTACTTTCAGCCAGCAAACAGTTTCATGGAGACAAGCCTGAGGGATTACTTGATAGAATAGAAAACTTCCATTTTTGATAGCTTAAACCTGTTTTCTTTGTTAGGAATGTGTCCATTGCCTCCTTCAAACAAAGTGCATTACATGAGAGATTCAACAGTCCACTTCCATTAATGGGCACGAGCAGACATATTCCATGGCCTCCTTTCCTTTTCCCTCTTTTCCCTTCCCAGCTGTCAAAGCTACCCGAACGTCATCAGCTGGCAAGTTGACTCTCTTCTACTTTACTAAGATAAACAAAAAGATTCCACACACCATCCCCTGGGAACCTCTTCATCCCAAACAAAATATGCAACATTTTACCTTTCCTTGTTTGGACGTGTTAATCTTGATGGCTGACACTTTTCCCACATGATCTCCTACAAAAACACGGAGGGCAACTGTATCCCAACACAGAGCTGTGACTTTTCTGCCCTTATGCTCAGAGGAAACATAAATCCGTTCTGGCTTCCCACGACGTTCCTGATTCAGCTCCCAGACTACTACAAGACCTTGGCTACAACAATTAAAAAAGAAAATACAATTAGAGGATAATTCTCCTAATGTTTTCTCACTGATAAAGACACATCATTCCAAAAACCACGAAAATCTAAGCAAAGCAGCACATCTCAGAGGTGGTTGTGTTTGAGGTTGTGCGCTTTCAGGAAGTGCCACACTTAATTCTGAAGAAGAGTAAGTGTCCTTCCTTGCACTCATATGATGTATCAGCAGTACTTATTCTGGAACAATCATTCCAGAAAAAACAGGTAAGCAAACTGTCTGTGCAGGGGATTCTTCTGTAGGGGCCTCTACCAGTTACTTCCCTGCACCCCTCCAAGATGTTCTCAGCAGGTGTCCAAGTTTGAAACTGAGAAGCTACTGAAAAATATTTATCTAGAATTCAGGTTTGCAAGCACATTACTCACCTGGTGGCAACAGCAACATAGTCTTCATCATGTAAACAACAGGCAACCCGGGAAACAGCACCTTCCTGAAGGCAAGCATGGGAGTAAGTGCAGTCAGAAGTTGCTCTTGTACCGTCTTCACCGCTGCGCAACTTTCACCTCTAAGACATAAACTCGATTCATGTCAACAGCTGCTACCACTTCGCTGTGATGTGGGTTTCCCTTTTCTGTTCGGGTTTTGTTCGCAAACACCAATTTTACTCTAAAAAGATGCAGCTGACAACATGACAGCATCGAGAAGTGACTGCAGTTCATTCTGATTTGGAAAACAAAGAAATCTGTCTCCTGACCTCACACCTATGGAAATTGTTTTGCCAGAACTAAGCAAGATGCTTCCAACGAAAAAAAAAAATGGCTGTATTCATATTACAGTGGGAGCAGCAGCAGCCCCCAGGAAATACCATCTGGCTGTAGAGACAGCAATCCCTGTTCCATGACCTCTTCCAGCAAAAGCACAATCCAAAAGCCTATCCTTTCTCTGATTATCCAGGTAGTTCATAGTTTGGACATGCAAACACCAGTAGTTACCAACACGTGAGTTGCTCTGGTTTCACATTCAGTTTATTCTAATTCTTAAATATTTGGGTGACATTGCTGCTGTTAAAAGCAAGAATTTGGGCGGGTGGGAGGGAAGGTCTGATTCTCTCAGGTAATTCCTTTCACACCTCATGAAATCTATTACAGCACATGCTCTGGGGATACACTCCAGGACCACAGCCTTTTTAAAAAGGAGCAGTCCAAAATTTCACTTCATTTGGACAATTCAGCAAGCTGAAAATGCCTGTTGACTCTTAATAAAAATTAACTTGAATCAATGTCTCTTTCCCAGTCCCATTTTCCCTGGGAATTTTCATATAGAATTCTTTACCCTTACCTTATGAGTGAGAAAGAGTCTTTGCTTCCAACCATCCTTCTGTATAAGGTTCAGTCCTCCTCCTGAACTGCCTAGAGCTAGCCATCTCTTTGACACAGCTATACACGTGCACTGGAGGAATAAAAATTATAATGCACAACATGACAGCTAGTAAGTAGTAATAACAGTGCCTTTTTCTTGCATTATTATGATAATTTTTAAAGGCTTCATTGTTTGCCAGCTGTGTGTACCGCTCCCGAAATACTGGCAGCACAAAGCTATTAGAACAGCACACACTGCAACTGGAGCAAACCACAGAAGACAGCAACCATGTAAGGCTGTATTACTGACCCCACAGCTGCATTAAGAAAACACACACACAGAGTAATAGGAAGCTTTGTCTTCACTACTTCTTCCCAAAGTGTCATGTCCGCTCCCCTCCCCCCCGGTAAGCTAGCGTGCACACACCCAAAACAAATGAGATGAATCCTGTAGGTTAATCAGATAATAAAACAAAAAAGGTCATTATCTGAACTTAAAAGAAAACGACCAAAACCACCTAATACCACAAACTTACCTTCAGACGACTAGAATCCAGCCTGAGCGCAGAAAGCAACGGATCCAAACATTCAAACTCCGCCAACACATGGTTGTAAGAGTCTGGAATTATTGGCACAGAGGCCATTGATGTACAAGACCAGCACTACTCATTCATTGGTGTATTACAACTTCTGCTGTACCTGCCAAAATAAAGAAAGATCTTGATTGATTCACTTTCCAGTACTGCATCTCGTTTTGTGTTTGAAGAAACACACAACGTCTTCCGGTTCAAACAGCATCAGGTTTCAGTTCGCCAAAAAGGGCCAAGGGCTGCAAAATTAGACCCCCGCTTCATTTATGAGTTTCTGTTGAAGTTCATTTCAGAAAACTTAACAGGTATCAACCTTAGAAATATTTAAAATGTAGCTGTAAGATATATTTACATCCACCTATGAAACAAGTTCTGTCTACCTGTGGAAAAAGCCTTGGTTTACAGTAAAATGCACTTCCCCCCACAACATGCACCCTTGATTTTAAACTGACTTTCTCAAAGATAACATTTTTCCAGTGACAATTCATACCTACATCATTTTCTCCCCCAAAACTAAATTTAAGGACTATTATCCTCAACTGATACCAAGTTTAGAATCATGTGCCTTTGTGCATTTTAAATACAACTATACATAAACACGTGCAAATTATCCTTTCCACAGTACAGCCTTTCCAGCACACAAGATAGATAACGGTGAAAATTAAGAAGCTGCAACCTCACATATTTTTCTTAAAACAGCATATATTAAAAGCATCTCTTGTTGAGAATTTTTTCAAGGTTAGACCTCTATGTTGCTTTAAGAAAACGCTTATTACACTTCATACTCAAGCCTGCGAATTTCTAAATAATGTTTAGCATAAAATCCCATAAATGACCCCCTCCCAGAAATACTATCATGTGAACCTTCGCATTTCCTTACAAGGAAAGGGAATGCTTACACTCACCAGGCGCTAGAAAAAGGGAAAATGGACATCTAGCCAGAGAGATGGAAAATTATTACTTCAAAATCCTCAAAACCCTCTTGAAAACCTTGAATTCCGGGATCTGAGAACGACTCAAACCCTGCGATAAAGACTAGGACATCTCGGACGACTACAAAAGGACTGTTTTGTTCTGGCTTAGAGTATTCAGCCCAGAGAGACACCCTAATGCCTGTTTTACACCCTCTGTCGAAGGGAAGGTCGAAGACAACCTCTATCAAACAACGCCAACCCCAGATACTAAATCCTTCCTTGGAACTCTGCTCCCGGAAAAGCAGCAACCGCCTCAGCACCTGTTCTGCCATCCTCTGGCCCGAGAGAAGAGCCACGAACCCCTGTTCCCTTCTCTCAGGCGCACGGAGGAAAGCAGAGTGTCCCAAAGCCTCAGAGAAGCCCTCCCAAGGCCGTCAGAAGCGGAAAGCAGGCGGGCAGGGGGGGCTGCT